CCAAATATGAAATGAAGCCTGTTTCCAGAGTCTGAATAACGCCAACATCTCTGATTTGGTCAGTGATTCAAGTATGTCTGGTGTTTTCACCAATAGATGTTTCACCTTGTTGGAGAAATGACCAAACAACTTACATCCATGAAAAATAGTGACAGAAATAACCATAAAAACGGCATCAAGCACCAATGAGATGATGCAGTTGTTGTCAGCTGATTTACAGAAATCACAAATGTTAAATAGACATATTTCTTTGATCGATGAAACCAAGCCTAACCAAGTAGTTTTGGTGACAATTTCAAGTTAACCATGTGTTTTCTAACAGGACATTGCATATTAACCCCATACATGTAAATGTAAATGCTCCGTATTTGTATAGCACCATTCTAGTCTTTTCGACCACTCAAAGCGCTTTTACACCACATCTGCATTCACCAGTCACTCACATTCATACACTGAGCCTAAGTGCTCAAACAGAAACTAACATTCACACTCACTCATATACTGGCGGAACAGCCGCCAGGGACAATTCGGGGTTCAGTATCTTGCCCAAGGACACTTCGACATGCAGCCTGGGGGAGCCGGGGATTGAACCTCCGACCTTCCGATGCCAACCCGCTCTACCTCCTGAGCCGCAGCCGCCCTGATAATGAATGCATAATGCATAAACAATGCTAAAGGGGTCTTGACCAAGCGCCAATATTTGATGACTTGGAAGTGAGAATGTGTGGATAGAGCATATAGTCTATAATATAGTACAGAACTGAGAACTCATAGTATATAGTTATGAGAATATTATAGATCCAAGATGAAACTGACAGAAGGGCGGGAATGAGAGAAAGAGGTCAATTAAAAATCTGTCTGCTACTTCAGCACCATGGACAGCGCCATGGATTTATCAATACAAAGCTAGGCTACTGATATTTCAGAGCCATGGTCGGGGCAATAGATTAAACTTACACAACCCTCAGTCAGATAAAGGATCAATGAGTCAGGCCAACTAGACTAACATAGTCAACTAAACATCCCCTCTGTCCCTACACACTGTGCTACTAAGGGATGGAGAATGGGCTGGCAGATTAACAGAGGGGATTGATTTTGACCATTTTGCTACTATGTTAGTATATTACTATATTTTACATTCCTGCTAATCATTTTGTTAAAGATAATATGACTCTGAAGAATATTTAGTATGTTTTCCAAGTCATGGTTTTCCATTCATTTTACTAAGGAATGGAAATCAACTAGACTCATTAATACAAAAAAACTGTGATGGCGTGTGAGGCGTAATTTATTTTTCATGTAGTTGTAGATTGATTTGTTTTATGTTTATACCTTCTTCATTGTACACCACTGTGTGTGATACGTTTTTTTTTACTTGTCTTTGTGTTACATTGATGGCTGTAAAACATTTTTTTACCCATATTGAAAAGTGCTGTACAAATAACATTTTAATGTTAAAGTTATGGAAATGCAGTTCGGCCAACTGCATTACTATGCAATGTTAATACGCATTTACTGTGTTCTCATTTCCTGAAAAAACACAGAACACACATTGAACTGTTTGTTGAAAATAAATGGTGGGAATTGTTGGGTCTAATAATATGAAGAATATGCTCTAGACCGACACTATGAAAAGTACAATGAGATAGCTTCTATTATGAATTGCGGCTATAAACTTTAAATCAAATTGAACTAAATTGGAAATGACAAGCCTGTCACCAGACCAGAAGGTCGCTATGTGGATTAATCTACAAAACGCGTGATTACTCTTAGGAAGTAACAATGTGTTTTCCATCTAATACCAATTTTTTAGGGAAATATTGTGGTTACACTTGAAGAGAAAGTGACCAATGAATGCAAGCAGTGGCACTGAACATATCATGAGGTACAGAGTTGTCCTGTCATGGTTTTGTGGTGTTTCCTGTTTTTATTTTGGTAAACTCTTCCTTTTGTGTCTTGGTGTACTTAACTTTCTGTGTTTTCTCATCTCTTTGTTACTTTGCACTTGTGTCATTTATTCATTCGTTCTGTTTCCTATTTTACGTTGCTAACTGACTCTTTCCACATAATAATAGAAATAGTTGCTCCTCCTAAGGTATTAGGTTTGACTGATCCCCGGTTCCCCTCACTCTTTGCCAGTTTGTCGATGTCTTTTGACTTATGTTTCAACCATTGGACTACTTAACTGGTTATGACCCTTGCCTGGATTTTGAATTTTGTACATAGCTTTCTACCTGGCTGATTTGTTTGCCTGTGTTACACTGCTTCCTGGTTGATCTCTGTCTGCCTCATCACCACTTCGTAAGCCTTTCGTCCGTGCTTCAATGTTTAAATAAATCATTGATATGAACCCGCTTTGCCTTCTGACCCTTCTGGCCTCTGACTGGATGACTCTGGCATTTGAGGCAAACCTGAAGCACAGAGTCTCCCAATTCAAAATATTTAAATTTTTCATTTAATAAAAATTTATTTTAGATCAAATTTTAGATTAAAATCTAGCTCAAACATTGTTGATCAACAAGGAGGGAACGTTGAGTTAATCTCTAATTATGGGCCCTTTTTATTTTACCAATTGTGTTTCATTACAGCCACAAGAGAAGTCAGCGAGCCACTGGTGATTTATTGCCGCCTGCTCCGCTACTGCATGCCATGCTGGGCCTGTGAAGGCTATCTGGGCCATTCAGAGCAGGATCCCATCAGCCCCGCTGGCTGAGTTATGGTGACAATGCTTGACCACTGCAATGTTGTAGCAATGAGACTGCTGGGATTTATTAAAGCACGGCCCCTCAAGTCTTTTCTTCTCTGCTCGCCTACCCGCCCCTTCTGTTCCTCGACAAAAAGGACCCTATCTATCTATCCCCAACCCAGAAACTCACACTCAGCATCTGAGCAAGCTTGAGTCACCTTGCCCTGCCTCTGCTGGCATCGAGAGCAGACACACACACACTGGCTTCCACTGACAAATATAATACACAAACACACATACACATTTAGTTTTGGCCCTTATCTATTACACAAATTACACAAAAGCCATTTTGCATAAGCCACATTCAAACACACCTCATGGTCTACATCAGTGAATGGAATTGGCTCAGGTGTCATCACATGAACTAACTATTTCCTACAGTGCAGAAATGTCTTTCTCATCCAAAAGTGGATTACCAACCAGGAAAAGTGGGTAAATGCCTTTGGGCCCCAGGCTCTCATGGAACCCCAAAGCTCTAATTTGCCTGCGTGGCAATTACTGTACAGTACTTTGATTAATTATTTGTTTGGTAAGATGTACCACTGAAGCACAATTAAAAACTTAAATGATAAAGACGTTGCAGTGTCTAACACCTTTTGAGCCAATGAAGAGGCCATGTTTTATAGAGCCGCTCTTTGTCAACATCTAGCTTTAACACCTTTGATACGTTGTCGATATTATGCCTACATGATACATGTTCTTAAACTAAATAAATGAATTAATTTGAATACACCAGAGCAATTAACATACAGCAAACCTTGGGCAGGGCAGTCATCCAGTGCAGACATACTGGGATGCGTTTCTGGAACTGTGTGTATGCCCTGTTTTCATCAAGCCTTTGTTTATGATTAGACTTCATTAAGGTTTATTCTCTTAAAACAAATGCAAACATCAGCTCATTTTAAGGTATAATGCTTTAATATCCGTTCTGATTTAGTGGGGCAGGTAGTTACTAGTGGTGATGCTGAGATTAATAATACAAGCCCAGAGCTACTTTGTCAGAGATACAGCAGAAGAAGACTTGTGGATCTCTTGACATGGCAAGGTGAAAATTTGAAGTCTTCTTTTCTAAACTCTGTTTGTTTGTTTTTTTGTTAAATTTGTTAAATTCTCTTTACATCTGACAGTAATCAATAAATCAAAACTGACACTCTCTCACTCTGACACAAAAATAAAAAAAACTGTGGCTGTTGCAGGACTGTAATAAGCAGGGCCGAATGAAATGATTGGCTGGCCTACCTGCCTACCTGTGCGCCCTCTGCTCGTGCACTCACTGCGCATGAACATTTGCTTTGGGCAGAGCGGCTTTGGAGGGAGGCCTGAAAGGGAGGGGTGGGATTTTTTTTCGATTAGATACTTTCAAAATGTTGCTGTCTCTTAACTGGCACTCCACCGTTGCCTCCCGTAGTTATGAACTTGTACCGGTGTGAATATATTTTCTCTTCAATGTGCTGGCAGCTCATTGTGTCATTCATCCAGATTAGGAAACAGCACATGAACGGCGGACTCCAGCACTGACAATGCACACTACTAAAAATAACTAATGAGTGTAAATACATGGCTGCAGCAGAATAAATACCAGCCATAAATAGTATCTGTCAGTTTGTCTGGTATGATGAATATCTTAAGGATTTTAGTTTTAACTGTTTCCATTTGTTTCCAGTGCAAATCAATTGTTTTCCCCTAAAAAAAAATCATGTGCCATTTTTCTGATACTGATCCTCATTCCGAGATAATTCAGTGAAACAAACTGATGACTCTTGGGAAGACTGAAATATTCTTACAGCACTTGTTTTAAGAAAATGAGATTCTTAGGAGTACAATATGGGGAATGACTTGATAAGATGGAGGTTTTTCGCAGCTAAGGTGATGCCTCTTCATATGTGTGTTTGCATGTGTGAATTTGCATGAAAATGCATGATGCACTGTTGGATGTTCATCAGATGTAGGGGGTGTTATTAGTAGCATTACTAGCGACAGTACTGGTTCTGACAGTGGCGATGTGTATTAATATTTGTAATTACATCATGAACAACAGCTGCCGTGCTGTATTTGTTCAGGTTTGAGGCTTTCTTGTTTGGGGCTGGATGGAGGAGGGGGCTGCCTGGAGTTATTGGCAGCGGAGTTCTGAATGTCAGCTCATTCATCTACATCGAGCCTACAAACCAGCAACCAAGGTGAAACGCCCCCCCACAGACGTCTGTTTAAGAAAAAAAAGGAAAGAGAGAAAGAGAGAGAAAAAACTTGGTTTTCTTCATCCTCGCTGCGTCTCGGACCAATCTCCTCTCGTTTTATTCGCACCCCCCACCCCCTATCTCGTCCCTCCCCGCGGGAACGAGAGTCTCCCTTGTTATGTTGTAGGCGCGTGTTATAAAGCGAAAAGCCCCGCAGTTCCCTTCAGATCGGAGCTCTCCGACCGCTGCGCGCACCAGCTATCAGACAATCAGGACCTGACCGTGCTCACAACTATGACCCTGCTGTGCTCTCCTGGATTAACTGTCAAGTAAGCGTTGTTTGTCGCCGCCACCCCCCTCTAACACCATCACCACCCGCAGCAGCAGCCTCCTCACCGGCTCCTCCGTCCCGTCCCTCAGCCTTTAACTCTCAGCTTTGTTCTGCGGTTATGGGCTGCGTTGTGTCCTTTTTGCCTGGGCTGCTGGGGGGCTTGACCGTGCTGTGATTCGGATACCAGGTGGATTTATGGTCTGCAAAGCCGCAACTACCAACCGAGGGAAATTAGTGGAACTTTGAGCTCCGGGAGGATGCAGGTGACGTGTTGGTGCGCCGTGTTCCTCCTGACGCCTGCACTTTGCCTGGTGAGTTAGATATTCCTGCTCAGCCTGTACTTCTAGCTCAACTTTCTCCACTTCACGCTGCTCTGACAGAAAGTCTAAAAGCCATACTTATTATTATTTTTATTTCACTATGAGAGGACTTTATCCGTTCAACCGTGCGTATTTCGAAACGCATTTCCACTGCGGCTGATCGGTTGTTTCACTGTGTGGTACAGTGCATAAAATGTGAAGGACGGATTCAAACTTTATCTACACACTTTTTAAATAATTGTTTGACAGTCAAACTTGAACGAGGAGGGATTTCAAGTGCGCAGTACCTCTGTGCGTAAAATGCACGTTGTGGAAATCACGCTATCACGACGAAGATGGAAGCTTTTTATACTATTTGTAAGCTCATGTTTGAATACTAAATTAATCTGGTGCCTAATACAGCGATCACCAACTGGCATAGGCACTGGAATGGTCTCACGGGGGCGCTCTAACAAACCAAAACTCCATGTCCACAGTCAGGCTGTCTGGACAGCAGAGAGCACACTCTACAGCGGGTTAGACTGGGACCCAGTCCAGTTCGAGCCTTGTCTCCCTTGTTATTTTTACCAAGCAAGTGTACAAAAAACACATATTGTGAAAAATATGCTTTTTAGGTGTAGTTCTGGTCCCCTCAATGTTTAAATTAGTCACCCAGAAAAAACAGCAACCACCCGTAGATTAAACCTTAATTCCAGGATGAACTTAATTTATTCTTGGCTATAAACATGAAAATACCGTATATTCTAATGCACAGTATAGTTTAAGTAGTTTAGTACATAAAAATGTTTAATCTGACACACAAAGTGAGGCTTTACTGTGCCTTATTTTGCTACCAAGTCTATTATTTGTCAGAAAGACAACGTTACTTTATGCTATTTCTTTCCAACACAAACAGGTAAAGAAAAGAATAAACAGACGAAATTGATTATTTTCACATTTTAAATTCTCATTCTTTTAGACCGCCAATTATATGAAATATCAGCCCTGAACAGGGAGAAAGTCAAACCCTGCCTTTCTCCAATGAGACATACTCCTTCACGATTCACAAGTGCTATACTTGATTTTATTTTGATTTTAATATACATAGCTTACATATTCCAAAACGCTATCTGTAATTGATAAATAAAGCAGCTGATGGATTTCAGCCCACTGCCAACACTTGTATCCACTTAAAAATATGAATTATCTTTATCTGACGTTGTGAATTAATCTGAATGCAAGCTAGAATTTTATCAAATGTTGCTATTACACTGAGTTTTCAATATATTTTCTTAATGTAATACCGCACATTATTAATGTGCATAAACCCGTTTGTGGCAGTATTGTAGCCTGTATCCGCAGTGCTTGATGTGTGTAATTGTGTGTCACTTCTTCATTTATCTAAAAACTTAACAGAGTAAAACACAGAGCTGGTGGACATGGAGCTCTCCAAGGTTCTGAAGGTATTTCAACATACTTTCCTTTAACTATAAAAAGGACCAACATGCCTGATGGGGCCATGGCGGGAAAAATAACAGGCCTAACCATAGGAATATATGTTTTATTTTAAATATTTTTTTTTCAATGGACTTTTGAAATTGAAAGGAATATATTTAAGGCCGACGTTGTGCAGTTTGACATCTTTTTGACAGAACAAAGAGCTTGTCACATAAATGACTGCAGAGTTCAAATTTTGGCCACTCTTCGTCCCCTTGGAATAATTATGGCGGTGTCAGTGTGCTCTTTCTGTATTTAATTCTGGAGCTTGATATCTCGAACACATGCATTCTTTTATTGTAAAATTCCTGCAGTCGAGGGAAAGGTGTGTTTTTAAACACAGCGCACTGCTGATGAAAACCCACACCGCTTCTTCTAGTAAATTCTGTTCGCCCTGTTGTCTGAGCTGAACGTTACGGCTGAAAAAAAAAAAAAAAAAGCCCACACAAAACCATCCCACCTAGAGTAAACGGAGTTACCAGTCAGCCTTATCCACGGCGGCGGGGATTAGAGCTGAACTTTGATGGTTTTATTCCGTGTTAAAGGCTCTTGTCTCTGCTTAAGCCTCTTGTCTGAGAGCCGCGCCTTGACCCCGATAACAGCACGGCCCAGGTAGACAGCAATACAGTATAAACCACAGAGCGGGATGATCACCTATAGGGCCACGATTTAATTAACAGGCCTACTATTATTTCTGGAAAGCAGAATTCCATCTGGGATTATGGTGATATTTGTTCATACCTTATCCTGTACTTTACAATGTAATATTTCATAATCAAACTGTAGGATAGCGTTTTAAATTCAGTCGATATTGATATTGTTGCTTTCCATGATTTTCTTCTATCAAATAAGTTGACTATATATATTAATAAGAAACAGGCATAGTATTTGTTGTGTGGTTAGATTCCAACATCTGTCTTTGTAGACTGGGGGGGGGTATTTGGAGAGCAGAGATTCAAATTTGGCAATTCAAAACAGCCTAATTTAGCCGTCTTGCTGATAAAATAACTTACTTTTACTCCAATAAATACTGCTGTTATTTAAATGTTTAACATTGATACTATTTTTTTATCTCTCTGTCTTCTTTAATCTTTGTTTTTAGCACATACACCTACATCTTCAGAACAGTGCAATTGGTGAATTGCAACAACTGTACATTGAGTTGCTCCCTCATACTATTATTCTATTATTTATATTTGTTGTCACATTATTATTAATCCCTGCTGTAGTGACTCTTTTCCTGTAGAGGGATCATCATTTGGTCTTCTTTCTAGAGTCACAGATATAAACTCAGACTACAGGTAACATTTAAGGATTTAAGCCACGTTGATGCTGCTGACAAGCGTTTCAAAAATTGGTTCTCGTCTGGTCCTAGGTGCAGCTTTGTGAGTTGAAGTCTGACGGGGAGGTCTCTGTGGTGGCTGGCTCCCACAACCACCGCCACCCCCCTCACTCCTCTTCTCCCTCCTCTCTCCCCTGGGAGTAACAGATGCAGTTGTCCCACTGGCAACAGTCATAGCAGTCACATTAAAGTGTTATTATCAAACAGTGCAAATGGGCCCTGCAGTGTTGAGCAGTCTGCACGGTGGGGAGGGAAGAAAGTCCCACTGAGATCACTACAGCACAGCTCACACAGTGTGAACCAACCCCCCGCCCCCACCCCTTCAGTCCACAGACCTCTAAATTAGCTCAAAATAGTAAAAATGCAATATATGTTTTCATTGAGCTGTTTGAATCTGAACTCAAGAGTGGGCCAGTAATAATTCAATTATATAGAAAAGGCATTTACGCAAATGCTCACATGCTGCGCGACTGAACACACACACAAACACACAGATATGGGCTCCACACACTCGAACAAGTGCATTGTGTGGCCATCAAGTGGGAGCAGTGGAGAGTGTGGAGTGTTGTATTTTTCAGCCCAGATGTCGACTAAGTGAACATTTCTCTCACTTCCTTGTTCAACCCGTGTGCTACTTAGTTTTTAAAGCAGCATGAAGGTGTCACTTTGGAGCTATTCAAGCCTGGCTGCTGGAGAAATCTGAGCACAAAAGGGCACAGAGTTCAGTCTCGGAGAACAACACTGCAATTCCCCCGCCGCCACCGGCGCCGTCCTAGTGGCCGCAGCTCAGCCCAGTTACCCAGCTGCGCTAGATTTGCTGTCTTTCACTCAGTGACTCTGCTTACCTCTCGAGGCAAATGTTTTCATATACATTGTGGGTTCTTCAGCAACTAGCAGAGATCTAGGGATCCAGGGGTGCTTGATAGACACCAAGGGGGGTTTTAAACAACCACGAGGGGATTTCAAAGGTGCTTGAGGGGGTTTGTCTTGTTCTTAATGAGGTTCCAGGTGTTACTGATGAGGGTCCAGAAGTCATTAGCAGGTTTCTTGGGATTTCATGGTGTTTGATGGCTCATTCAGGTGGTTCTCTAAGTCACTGAAGGGGTTCTAGGGATCATTGAAGGGTTTTTAAGAGTCCTTGAGAGCATTCCACAAGTCCTTGGGTTAGTTTTGCAGGTCTTGGAGGGTGAAACAGGTCATCTCTAGCAAATGAAGATTTGATCAATTTAATTCATTACAAATGATCCCACTTAGAAAAGGTACAAATTACTAGGTTTCACTTTCACTGCCTTTGTTTACTGAATCAATACAAATACACAGACTAATGTTGATATATTGGGGTTTTTGACACAGTGTCACCGCTTTTAATCACCTGACAGAGAGGAACTTCACTGGGAGGGTGAAATGGGTGCTGTGGAACTGAAAGCCAGTTCCCAAGCCAAGTTTTACCAATAACATCGTGAGTTTGACACAAAACAATAAGTGATTTCAATTGGCCTGAAGAAATAAAAGTAATATACAGGGCTGCCACCTAATAGTCAACTAAATTCTACTCATTCATAGATCATTGCAGACTGATTTACTGAATGAGAGTATTTAATAGACATAAATGATTTATATTTTATGCACTGATCTGTTGTTGTAGCACGTCTGCAGCATTAGAATAAACTATAATCATCCTTTTTATGTATCATTTTGCTCATAACAAACTGAACACCAGTCTGGAGCACGAAATACTGATCATGTGGTACGCTCTACTCAGTGAAAACAGAACATCACATTAATTAGCTAGTTAATAGAAATTTCGTTATTGTTTAGCTATATACTAAATGACAGTTTGTTTTTTTATTTGAACTAAAAAAAAAAAGAAACTTTTTGTTTTTCCTGTTGAAGAAAGACATAAAGAAAAGCAAAACAGTCGACCCAGTAAATATATCAAAATAAAAGCCAAGTACAGAATGGCCTTTATGCAAGCACTAACACTGAAAGGAAAATAAGTACAAGTACAAATAAATAAACCTGGGCTGATGGTGTTAGATGATCATCGTGTCCAAGTAGTCCTAGTTGATTACACGCAGTTTAATTTTGCGCATTTATCAAGGGTTTGAATTGGAGGGGACACATATTAATCAAGGGTCATCCCCCAGAATATTTTGACTGTTAAACGCCTTTT